GGCAATTTTTATTAGTATCAATTTGCCTTTGCGCTATAATCAAGGCCTACATAGCAATTTAAGGTCCTCTCAAAAGTTTCTAAAAGATAACATTTCTCCGACCTAAACCTTAACATGGCTCACTTTTAATTATTACATACAGGGCACGGTTTGCCCTTTCTAAATTAAGCAAATGGTTGAAAATACAGGTGAACCCTTTAGTCTAGACCAGACAAATTAACGTTTTTTTTCAGCCATGGCGAACCACGATATACCAAAGCGAAGCAATTTAACCAGTTACCTTCCGGAAAGAGCTTACTAAAATTCGTGATGTGTTTTCTTTCTCTGCACGTTATTCACCTTCCGATAACAACTTCAACTTCCAATAACAACTTCCTATAAATGTCCTCTCATGCGCTAGCATACTCCAAGAGCAAAAGAAAGACCCAGCAGAAATAATCTTAACTGAAACGTTCTAACTCCGAACAAAAACAGCCCAACGGCTGAAACCTCCCACGTGCCCCACCTGTTCATTTTACAAAGGACGTTCCTCTTCAGTCAAAATGTTATTGGCCGATTCCTTCTCCCTCGTGGATTGGTGCAGAAGGAGCTCGTGCTCTATTGGAATTAAAATATTCATCATGCGTGACGGGTTTGAGATCCGGCTTGTGGGCGTGTCCTCACATGTTCTGTTACTGTATTTCCCGCTAGTCTGGGCAACGTTGGTATTAGTAACACAGCGAAGTCTGTTATGAAAGTTAGCTCTTCTGGAATAAGTGTCCAAACAGTATGAAAGTTAGCTCTTCTGGAATAAGTGTCCAAACAGTATGAAAGTTAGCTCTTCTGGAATAAGTGTCCAAACAGAAATGAGAAATTTCCTGAGGGAACTATGAAACAGTGAAACAGCTTGCCTTCAGAAGTTGTTGACTGGAGGGTTTTAAGAAGGGATTGGTCTAAAATAGTAGGGTCTCTACTTGAGCAAGGGGTTGGACTAAAAGACCTTCAAAATCCCTTCCAACTCTGTTATTCTATTAAGAGAAAACTCAGAAATCTTTCCTGATGGTGCAATAAAGAATTATGGGAATGGAAGTGAATAGGAACCCCTTTCATCGCACTTGTATCCTCAGGAAAGTGGCAGTTGCCACAAATATTGCTCAATTGTCTGAAGCAGAGATCTTTTAGACAATCCTGAACTAAGATTTATGGACAAATAGTGTGTAAATTTTTAATAAAAAAAATACCCTTTGCTGCAAACAATTACCACGCTCATAGAGATCAGTAAAATGAATAAGAGGGAATGTTTGGCTTTTTAAATCTTTAGTTCTATGTTTTCTGGCAATTGACACAATCCTCTACTGTCTCCAAAACACTTTACATTGTATGTTTTAGAATTCTTCTAAGCAGAATTTACTTTCAGCTTTTTATGTTCCTGTTGTGAAAGAGTCTTGTAGCTTTAAAAAAAATGGGAAAGGGTAAAACAAACACTGATGGATAAGTAAAACAGAAAGATGCGAAAAACAAGAGAAAATAGAATAAAGAAAAGAGAAAGCTTTATAAATATTATAGAAATTATAGAATTTATTATAGAAAATAATTTAAATCAATTATCAATCAATTCACCTAAAATCACTGAAAAGTGAATAATACAGTCATACTTCTGATTAATTTTGGAATTATGAAACAACAAACATGGATCTGAAGTACAGGCCCTTGTAGAATCTCAATTTTACACAACTAAAGCACTCCAAAACATCTAAATAAACCAAAAAGCCCAGCAGATCTAGAAGAAAAAAAAAACAGTCCTTACAACATATATTGGTACATCTAAGATTTGTTGGAAAGGTTGTGACCACCCTAGAATATACTATAACTTCTGGATGGAATTACCTAAATGTCCAACAATTGGGAAATTGGTTTTTAAGCAAATAAATAAGATTTGAACTGCATTAGTTTTAGCAAAAACAGAATTATGTCTTTCATAAAGAGAAAATACAAATATAAAAAGCAAAAGCAAGATTAGTACTCCAAATTTAGACATTTGATACACAATTTATTAGAAATATTTTAATGGAAAAGCTGATAAATATCTTTTAATTTAACAAAAGATATTTTTTCCTTTTTATAATTAGTTTGCTAAGTACATTAACCAAACTACTATTTGAAGAAGGATTACATTTAAGTATCTTACAAAACAATTGAAAAAGTTGGGAATAATTCATAAATGAGGACTTTCATTTAGTCAATCATTTTATTTCAATCACTAATCAGCAAATCAAAACAAACAAATCACATTTAACTTAGTGAACATCAGTGCATCCTACACAGCATAGAAATTTACTAGAGTAAAATATGCTATAAAAACATAGTACAAGTTAAATTGTAAATTTAATATAGTATTATATAATTTATATAGGGCAATTAAATGATTATTTACAATTATAGAATAGTAAATTATCAATCTAAAGTATAGAACATTATCATACTAAAAGCCATGGAGAAGTTGTAATTAATATTAATAATATACCTAGATAAAATCTAAACTTTCAGAAAGCTTTTGAACAGGAATAGGAAAAAGATGAAACCCCTTCTGCCTTTTACAAAGATTAAGATGAAACCCCTTCTGCCAATTTACAAAGATTAAGAGATCAAAATATGTCTAGTTTAACAAAGAAAAGGACTAGAGGGTGACATGATAGCAATTTTCCAATATTTGGGGTGGCTGTCACAGAGAAGAGGTGGTTGATCTATTCTCCCAAGTGTCTGAGAGCAGAAGTAATGGATGGAAGCTTATCAAAGAGAGAACCAACCTAGAATTAAGAAGAAATTTCCTGTCAGTGAAAAAAATGGAACAGCTTGCCTCCAGAAGTTCTGGGTGCTCCATCACTGGTGGTTTATAAGAGGAAATTGAACAGCTATTTGTCCGGAATAGTATAGATCAGTGATGGTGAACCTTTTTGGTGTTGCATGCCAAAAGTTGTGTGCCGGCACCCATGATGAAATGAACGCCCCCATTTGTACATGTGCGCACGACCCCCCCATTCCCCATGAGCATGCACCCCGCCCTGCACATGTGCGCGCCCCCATGCATGCACCCTCCAATTTTTCCAAGAGGGCCAGCGCGCCTCTTACCACTCTTACCGGAAGATAGCCAGGTACTGGCCCGTTCTCTGGTGAGACAGCTATTTCCCGGCCCACGGCAGTGTTCTCGGCCCTGCCACCTCGGCACTGCCATGTGCCAGCCGGGGAGGCTCTGAACATGCAGCCTTGCCTGGGCTCCTCCCTGCTGGGAGCCACAGGCCAAACATGTGCGGCTGGCAGGGTTTTGGCGGACCAGCAGCCAGTGAGAGCGGGGTGGTGGTGGGCTGCCTGCACAGATAATCCCGTGGCCATCGTCAAAGTGGCGCCGAGACACACCTCTTGGCTTGCTCCACTAGTTGCGTGGGTCCCCTGGGCTGTGGGCATCGCTGCACTGTTTCCGGTATTCCTCCTGCGCAGCCCCACCACCCGAGAAGAGCAGCAGCTGCAGCTGCAGGGGGAAGGGCAAGACCGACCGACCGGCCGGCTCAGGTGCACGGGGCAGCATTTGGTAGCTGGGCGCTGGCTACCCTGTCTGCTGCTCCTTCCCCAACGTTGGCTGAGCTGGCAGCACAGCCTCAAGCATGGCGGGGGTCGGGCAATGGGCCCAACCGCAGCCAGCGTAGCACTCCCACCCGACCCCCGCCACTGTGTTGCCAGCCGAGCCAGGCTCTCCGGTTGCCGCAGGGGAGGCGGAGATGCCCACAGCCCACGTGCGGCCAGGCAAGGCTGTGCGTTCAGAGGTTCCCCGGCCAGCATATGGCGCTGCTGAGGTGACAGGGCCGTGAGCACTGCCACCAGCCGGGGAATGGCAGCTCCCAGCGGGGAGGAGCCCAGGCAAGCGTTTGGAGCTTTTCCAGCCGGCGCATGATGCTGCCGAGGTAATGGGGCTGAGAGCACTGCAGTCAGCCGGGGAACGGCAGCTCCCAGCAGGGAAGAGCCCAGGCAAGGCCATGCATTCGGAGCCCTGGCTGACGCATGGTGCTGCTGAGGTGGCAGGGCTGAGAGCACTGCCGCCGGGCGGGGAACGACAGCTCCCAGCAGGGAGGAGCACCGACAAATTCTAGCTTGTGCATTGAGTATCAAACAAATGATTAGTACCAGGACAAAATTTTCATGTCAAAATGCTTTGAGTACTAAATTTGATGAGTTTCAAAGCAGTTGAGTACTAAGGTATCACTATAATTTGCCAAAGGCAGGAAATGTTTTGGTTAGGTTCTGAACAGCTGTGCTGACGTAGTGGTTAGAACGCAGTATTTCAGGCTAATTGTTGACTGCCAGCAGTTCAATTCTCACCTGCTCAAGGTTGACTCAGCCTTCCATCCTTCCAAGGTCATTAAAATGAGGATCCAGTTAGGTAATAAGATGATTCTGTAAACTGCTTAGAGAGTGCTGTGAAGCACTATGAAGCAGTATATAAGTCTAAGTGCTATTGCTAGGTAAATTGCTCAAAAATGGGAAGGAAAATTTCTAAAGTTTTATAAGGCCTGCTGAACAGGGAATCTTATAACACCTATCCTGTATAGATTCTGCCCACTTGGTTGAAGGATGCAGAAAATTACAGTTGAAGGTCCCTCCCCACTTCAGAGAGGTGCGATGGACTGGGGGATGGGATCAGAGCTCCATTACTTGAGATAACTGGCCCTGGAGACAAGGGTAGCACCCATTTTCCTCTGAGTTGTGAGTATTTGTAGAGTTCCTGGCCTCAATCTCTCTAAGAGAGCTAACCACCACAGTGCTAACGACCACATAACTGCAAAGAATATAAACTATTCCCCATCAGTCAGAATTGAAGATGCTTCTTGGATGAGAAGCGAAACGTCTTCATAGATTCTCAGACTTCATAGACTGGTGTCTAAATTATGGGTGTGAAACTCTTAGGATGCACGTTGGTCTTAATTTAGAAAGGGTTAAAAAAAAACCCTAAAAAGGATGACACTACTAACCTAGGATTCTTTCACATCAGTACTTTCGCTTTGGTTTGCACCGCCTCTTGCAGAGGTTCATCGGCTGTGCCACGCCCCCTGCCGCTTACACCATTTGCGCGCGTGCGCGGCGTGTCCTATTTCTTACGCCCGAGAACTAAATCGGCTGCGATGGAGAACGCGGGGACAACTCCACAAGGAACAGCGGGGCGTAAGAGGATCCCCAACCGGGAGAGGCCCACGGCCGAGGATGAGGCTCTCAACATGATCGCTCGCGAGGTATGGCAGCACCAGGGCTGGGCGGTTTCGTCCTTTCCCTTCCTCTCTCGGCCTTGGGAGCTTCTCCGCCTTGGCCGCCTCTCCTTGGTTTGCTGGAGGGCCTCTCCTTCGCCGAGGGCGCCTGCGGCAGGCGGGACTGGACGGTGTCCTCCCTCTCCAGGGGGGTCTGGTCGCCGCTTCCCCCGTCACGCCCCTTGTCGTAGATTTCTGCGTCGTCTCTCTTAATGGGCTTCCGGGCAGCCTGATGGAGGGTGGACGGGGCAGGCAGCCACTTCGCCTCCTGTTAGTTTTGCCAGCAGAGACTTGTATGCGTGTTTAACTGGAAATTAACGGGAAGTAGTGTTAACACGACCAAGTTGGTGCGAGTGAGAGAATGTGTTTTTATACCCATATATCCGAGTTACATTTGGTTTCCTCCATTGTGCGTTGTCCTTATATATACTTTTTGCAGTTCAAGATTTTTTCCCCATTTGTAATATATTTTTATATTTTTTATATGATACATACTGGTATGTTAGATTATTTGATTTTTTAAAATCCTGCCTTTATTGTTTTATCAGAAACTCAAGGTGTCAAACATATATAATAATTCTTTCTTATTCCCATTTTCCCACAACAAAAACCCTGTGAGTTGTGCTGGTTAGAGAGAGAGTGACTGGTCCAGGATCACTCAGCCAGCTTTCATACCTACCACAGGACTAGAACCCACCATATCCTGGTCTTTAGGCCAGCACATTCACCACTACCACCAAAGTGGCTGATAAACCTGTTACTCTTTAAATTTCACAACTTTTATATGCATACTAATTTTCTATGTTATAGTGTTACATTTACCTAGTAGTATATGAAATTAGAAATCGGGGTGAAATATTGGATTTGAACTAATTCATTTAACATGAAATGATAACAGGAATAATACCATAACAATAATTGGTAATATATAATTTATATATTCTGAATTAAGTAGCATAAATGTATAGATTTATATATACAAATATATTGTTATACAGGTAGTCCTCGATTTATAACTGTTTAGTGATTGTTCAAAGTTAAAACAGCTCTGAAAAAAGGAATTGATGACCATTTTTCACATGATCATGGTTACATAGTTTACATTCTGATGCTTGACACCTGACTCACTTTTATGACGCTTGCAGTGTCCCGGGGTCATGTGATCAGCTTCTGACAAGCAAAGTCAATGGGGAAACCAGATTCACTTAACTGGGTTACTAATTTAATAACTGCAATGATTCATTTAACTGTGGCAAGAAAGATAAAATGGGGCAAAACTCACTTAACAAACACTTAGCATCAGAAATTTTGGGCTCAATTGTGGTTGTAAGTTGAGGACTACCTGAATAATTTGTCTGAAAAGGAGATGGGAAAGCATTTATTCATATGCTGTGATCAACACACAGTTTTATCACTGATTCCAACATAGCTAAAAAAATAGAGTTGGAATTGGTCACATGGTATCAGCAAATTCAACTTTCTGCTTACTGCAGGAATTAAAGTAAATGCATCCTAGATATCTTGCATTTTACCCATTTTAAAAAAATTCTCAAAGACTTATGTATTCATAAGATGTATAGACTCAATAGGGACATAAAGTTTTGGTATGCCATTAGCATGTTACTTTAATTCCTAGAGCACGGGTGTCAAACTGAAGATGTGGTTAGATTTGGCCTACGGGACCACCCTGGAAACAGCAAAGGACTAGCCTGCAGCACCTTGGCCTGGCCTGCAGCACCGGGTCCTGATCTACAACCTGGCGGCAGCCATCCAGACCAGAATGTGATTGGCTGGCCTGGAGCAGCGAGGGGCCACCCCCACCCTGCCCCGCCCCCACTCCACCCCTAGGCACGCACACACGCGGGGCCTGGCATCCCTGGGGACCATCTTGCCCTGCAGGCCAATTGCGTTCTCAGCACTTCATTTCACCCAGGACGCTAATGCTCGCCATCTCCTGTGCGCACCCCCAGGGGGTGGGACTGAGGTAGTGGGGTAGTCTCTCGCTGACTTCAGGGCATCTGCATAGGTCAGAACTAAGGCTGACCATGTTCAGGCCTCGACAGCCGCACCAAGTTGTAGATCAGTACTGTGCCCGCACGGTGCCTCCATTCGCCGCTCGCCAGCCTGGCCTCACAGCCCCCTTTCATTGGGACTGCTCTGCCCCCGCGTGGGAAAGCCATGGCCAATGGCAGTGCTGCTAATATCTCCCCCTGCCCTCGTTCCTTCCTGAGCTCAGAGGAAGATTGGGATGGCATGAAAAGCATTTGCAAGCTGACAAGACTTTGGGGCAGCGAAATCGCCTTGCTTGAAACCTCCCATCAACTTGTAAACACTCTTTGTGCTGAGACTGGTGTGAAAGATGTTTTCTAGCTGATGGGAGGCTTCAGGTAAAGCGATTTCACTGCCCCAAAATCTCATTGTCTTGCAAATGCTCTTTGGCTGGATCTGGTACAAGCCTCCGTTCACAGAGAACAGAAGCCCAAACTACTGCAGTGTGAGATCAGTAGCGCAAGATCTTGTGCTACTGATATAGTGTGATCTTGCACTACAGTACTGCATGAACTGCAGGGCATCGGTGCTTGTATGCAGCTAAGGAGGGTGATGGAGGGTCGAACAGTACTGCATGGACTGCAACGGAGTGTGGGTGAAAATGGGAAGCTGCCGCAGGCAATAGGCAGGCAGCAGTGAAAAGGGGCTTCCCATTTTGATCTTTCCCCACTGCAGTTGCCTTTGTGCCTAGACTCCAGCCTAAAACCAAATGGGCAAGTTTGGCTTCCCCCCACCATACCCCAGCATAATTTGACACCACCCCCCGTGCCCTTCCCAACTGCACGCAAGCACCGATGCTCTACTCCTCCCCCCAGGCTTTGGCGCTCACCCTGGATCACCCCCCCAGCCTTGTTTGGCCCCTCAACGTGAGCGAGGTTGAGTTGTCCATGCCCATCCAGTCACATGACCACCCAATCACATCCACCCCACCCTTTGAGGGCGACCATAATGCTGATCCGACCCTCAATGAAATTGAGTTTGATACTCCAGCTAGAGTGAACTTATTTTGCCTTGGAGATTTGTCTTGTTTTTAACTACAATGGATATAACAAGTCTTAATATAGCTTCCAAGAGGCTTACACCAATATTAAAGAGTTGAAGAAATTTCTGGCAAGTACTGGTTGTGTACTATATATGACAACAATCTTCCATATTCTTCATATGTCTGGGCTGTGGGGTAGAGTGGTAAGATGTAAGCTTTTTCTTATGAAGAAAAGCTTGGCTACATTTTGCAAAAATTTACATCAAGTCTGACAAAAGCATGCAGAAAAATGTTATTGTCTAATGCAGCGGTTCTCAACCTGGGGGTCGCGACCCCTTTGGGGGTCGAACGGCCATTTCACAGGGGTCGCCAAAGCCCTCTCTCGCCCCCCCCACGCCTTCACTCACCCTCACTCTCTGCTCTGTTGGATTGCCGGCCGTTCGCTTACCCCGCCCACTCCCAATCTATTGCTGCCTCCTGAGTCCCAGCTGATGGCTAGAGGAAAAAAAACTGTTTAAATTCTTGCCGCAGGGCTTCAAAGGGCCGCCCTATAGCCAGTGGTGGGATTCTGCCGATTCCGCTCCGCCCCTTGCCCCGCCCGTCCGCACCACTATTTATTGCCAATAAATAGTGGTGGGCGAGGGGCGGGCGAGCCAGCAATTTAACAAATGGTTCGGTGTTTTTTTGTAATTTTATTGGCCCACGGAGCTTCAGCATAGGCTAATTAGCCCTTGATTAGATCGGCTCCCGACTCTCAGCTGATTTGCTCTCAGCTGTTTTGCTCAGGGCTCTGCTGCTTGTTTGCAAAGAGTGCTGGAGCAATTTCCCCCCCCTAACTATGCTGAAAAACGAAACTGAAAGTAAAGCAGGCTGTTGGCTTTGCTGTTGCTACAACGTTGGAAAATTAGGCAGGCAGATTTCTTTTCTTTTTCCTCACCAAAAAAGGTAGGTGCAAACAATGGGAAATTTAGGGAAAAAGAGGAGAGTTCAAGATTTTAAAACACAAAAGGGAAAAAGTTCTATTTAACTAGAGAATTGGAATAATTGAGATACTATTAATTGCATATTGTGTTGAAAGCAGAAATGGTTAAGTTGTGGTTTGGAGGAATATATGGGGGAAATTATTTGGTTTATTATTATTGGTAAATATAATTAACTGATTTGTAAGAAATTGGATTGCATGGAAATAATTGGAATATTCATGTTCATATTGATTAATATACAAAAAAGGTAGTTATATAACATTGATTTATATTAAAATGTTGAATTTATATTAAACAACTGTAATATTACATAATTAACCAATGTGAGGATGGATATAAAAATAGATGACAATGGGAAGGGGTATAATATAGAATAGAAGGGAAAAATTGAATTTGATTAAGATTAGAGATGAGGATGAAGGGTAATATTGGTTTTTTTAAAAAATAGATGAGGAATAAATATGGCAAAAAGGAAATATAGAAATTGTAAATTTAATTGAAATGACTAAACACTGTTTAAATTTGTGAGCCGGCCAAATACTCTGTTCAAAGAAAGTACATTGTATGTTTGTATGTGCGTTTCTAATTATTGTTATTTATTCATATTTATTCTCTTTTATTCTTTAAAGTTTAACAATTCATTCTTTATCTTAATATCTTTATATTTGTTTGGGGTTGGCTTTCTTCCCTTTCATCTTTTTTATTGTACAGCAATCTTTCTCCTCAAACCTACCACCTCTCTCTTTCCTTTCCTTCTTACTTTCTCTTCCTCTCCCTCTTCTTCTCCTCCCTACTTCCTCTTCCTTTCTCCTTCTCTTCCTCTCTTCCTCCCTCTCTTACCCTCACTCCTACTCTAATTTCCCTTCCCTTCCTTCATCTCTCTATTGCTGTATCCTTTTATGCATATGGACTACTCAGAGGGCTGAAAAAATTATTTCTGACTGGTCCTCGCACTTTTGACCAGTCCTCGAACT